ACTCTAGAGGATCCCCTATACATGTTCATACAGTTTAAATTTGGAAAAAAACTTATTTCGGAAAGCAAAGATTGAAAAAGTGAGATTAGCCTTGCTTTGCCCCTAACCCCCTCTCAATTTTGTATCACTTTACATAGGGAAAGAAAAGCCTCAGAGCCACCCTCTACACTTCTTTAGCCCTTACCTGCCCCACCCCTACCTATTTACTTATAGAAAGGACACTGTACTTCACTAGCATACAATCCAATCAAATCGGTCATTTACAAACTTCCATGATACAAGAACGGTGACTATTGCAATCAATTTATAAGTAAGCTTACACTGTGAAGGTGATATTTCTTAAGACTGAACAGTTATACTACCTTTTCTTTTTCATTTATATTGACGTCAGGTTTCTTGACATTTTCTTTCTGTGGTTCTGGAGGTTTAGCTTTCACAGTGAAAAGAGCAGCTAACTTCTTATTTTCTTTCACTTTTGATTTGGACTTCGTTAAACCAGCCGCCACTTGACCAAGAACATAGTCTGTCATTTTTAACTATAACAAAAAATCGAGGGATTAATTTCAGTGGTAAAATTATTATGACCAAGAAAGAGTCCTGTCCCTGTCTCATGACCCATATCATATATTAAAGGGACAGATGCCACACCTGTTCCTTTAAGGATCCAAAAATCTCCCAAAACCTAGACCTCAAAGCCCTTTTAAGACATGCCTCTTATTTTCAACTCTGTGTCAACTCTCTAGACACTTTCATTCAAGCTATACTCTAATGTCTTTTACGCTAAGCTTTTTGCGTTACTCAATTCCACACCCATACTCCTCAAAAGAACATATCTACCAACATGAAGGTAAGCAGACAATTAATAGAAGACACAACAAGGGCATTCCATATTAATACAATATGACAATATGAATTAATTAGGATCCTTGGTCATGAGGGGCCAGATCTCTCTATTATTATTATTATTATTTTTTATACTGATCATGTCGATGTACAATCTGCTATGTCGTATCCAAAAGGACAGCAGGTAGGCACAATGGTCGTTAGGATGTATCCTGATTACATTGACAATGACACTGATTTAAAAATAAAATACTTGAATAAGATTTTAGGGCAATAGGTGTAAAATAACGAATTGATTTCATAAAAAAGAAAATTTGTTTACGTTTTTCTGAAAGCATGGAGTAAAGGGAGCTAACTATTGTTTAAATCTCGATCGTTCAGTCGCAGATTCAGACGTAAGACAACTCGAACCATTACAAGACAACTAAGATCACTTTTAATAAATCTAACCAATGATCCGAAATTTTTTCAAGGCTTCTTAATGGAGAGAAAATATGTTTAGTTTGCTTCCAAAATGACTTCTTAGCTATCCCCAATGGAAAAACACCCAATAACGTTTTTCATAAAACATAAGCGGCCGATCCAGAGAAATGTCAAGTGGGATTTTCTTTACTTATGTAAAATAATAGATTTGAAAGAGTGGGGAGAGACAAATCCAGGCCAGCTTTATTTCTGTGGACACTGCTTCCAGTAAAATCATCGTCCCCCATTGAACACGAGTAAATAGGCAAGACAGAGGTGGCTCCGTGAGTTAGATGCGTGATAAAAAAAATGACGCAAAGAGGCCTCTATGCTCTATACGCTTGCTCACTAACTGCCTAATGCCTAATTTGGCTCTCAATTCTGGTGAAGTCTGTTACCCAACCCTCGACCAGGGGTGCAAAGTGGCACTATTTGATAATAAATAAAATACGAAATTTTAATTATTTTATTACAACAAATAACAAAAATATAACAAAAGTCTCAAAAGAAGTTACAATATAGGCTTATATCTGGCCTGTAAAAAAATAAAAAATATTTAAGCGATTGGGCAGTAGAATAAATCGCAGGATATGAAGATTTTGCATAAAGCAAGAACAAAAGCAGCTTGATGCCAATTTTGATTTTCCTTAATTAGTTGCGTTGTGTTGAGGGATGGGCTTGAATTCTGAAACCGGATATCAAATTATGCCCTACATGATATACACTGGAATGCGAGGTATTCTATGAGGCAATTACATAGAAAGTACGGCAATTATGTGGCATGAATAGAAGTATAGCAAAAAGAACTTAAATTGCTTAGAGATTTCTCAACCCTTCTGAACAAAAGAAAAGTAGGGCAGTATAAAATTTAGTTTTTGGACAAGACTGATATTTATGATAAGCGTAGTACAACGTTTCAGAAATAAATTCACAAGCCAACCCTAATATCAGATTATAGTTTTTCATTTCAAATATTCTATATCATTCTTCAAACTAACTGTACAACCATTCTCTCTCTCTAGAGGATTTGCCTACATGCCTGTGCCTGTCCTTTCGTTACATTACTTAATCGCAATGTTACAACCTAAAATTTCTTAAAGCCCAAGATCTCACAGTAAGCCTATTTCTTGTGGCAACTGGTGGACCATTACTTAAGGCCGTGGCTATTCGTACCGCATGGGCATTAAAAACATATGGCTATCCCTACCTTACACTAACAAAGTTACTTAATATCATTCTTAATATCATTCTCGATAATCAAAATGGCTTCACGCTTTAAAAAAAAAAAATTAGCGCGGGTCTTATCTTATCCCTACCGTTGTTTGCAGCCATAGAAACGGTGCAAATAGCCAGTGCGTTTTTTGAAATATCTGTACAAAAGTCTCAGATTAGAATACACCCTCCATTGACATCCATATAAAAACCTAAATTCACTTCACAACATTATTGGTTATTGGAGGCAGGACAAAGTCGATTTTATGAAGGTGACACATAACCTCCCCTCGCCCTATCAATTTGCTTCTTCATAGCTTACATGTCACTTATTCGTTCCACACGTACGATCACTTGGAGAGTTTTATTGTTAGTAAATAAATAGTTGGAAAACTGTAGCTATTTACAAAAATTATCCCCATAAGTTCATGCTTTTAAAGTTAAAAAATTTCCCCGAAATCAACTAACTATATTTTGACATGTTCCTCATTTTCGATTTTTGAACCATTCTTCTTGCTTGTTCCATGTGAATCTCGCCATCCTCAACTTCATATACGTCTTCACAATCACCAAATGTTGACATGGAGGCCATGGGCAGGGGTGGAGCACAAACTTCATCATCGTCCTCGGAATCTCCTCCTTTGCTTCTGGACCTCATACTGTTCAAGAGACCCTTCTTCTTGGCCTTTTTCATGAAAGCCCCTGGAGCTGGGGCTGGTGCTTCTTTGTCATATATGGCATTTATGTCGCTTAGTTTGCTCATTCCTGACATCTTGTACGCAAAGCTACTCGGAGCTGCTAACTGGGTCTTATTTTGATGGAGTTGTTTTGACCTAGCACCCTTGGATTTGAAAAGTGCTTGGACTTTTGAAGTTACCGCTTCTTCATCTATGTCAATACCACCTTTCGCTTCCATTTCGGCTGTTACTTCTTTATTCACATCCTCCATCCATTTTTCAAGAGACATTTCCTCTTGGGCTCCCCCAATAATAATTTGAGTCAAAGATTTCGCACCAGTCAAGGGAACATACTGACCGCCAGTGATATACGCAATAGCAGTGAAAAATTCTTTGTAGGGGGTAATACTAGGTTCACAACCAACGGTATATAAAGTTATACCCTTTTGAGCCATAGATCTCACAACTTCCACCGGATCAATATTGTCTGGGCATCCGTTTGGGAATGAATCACCGGATCGATTGCTTAGTCCGTGAGGCGGAGCATCCGAAATCAAAATACAG